TATTACAGATCACAGAAACATGTCATCAAACCATACACAATGATATCAATGTTATACATGCACTAACAAATAATACATGCCAGGGAGTCGCAAGTGTAAAGACTATGTTCATGAGGATTAACAGGTATTGCTTGTAGTGCTTTATATAAAACCAGTAAAACTATACATGATTTCTGAAAAATAATTTAATGATTTATGAATTATTCCTCTACATTTTGATGTCTTTGTTATTTGTCATAGTAAAACTGCAAATTTATACAATATATTGAATGATTTTACCCTACTCATCTTTCCAAGCTATTTAAGCTCTATTTGCAACACTGCAACAAACTACGCAAGAAACAATCCAAACAATTTAAGACTTCATTGGTGTCATAATGTGATTGATTACTGGTCTGTTCCCTTTTCCTACACAGTGTAGTAACAACTTACGTTATAATGCCTTAAAGATATAAAAAAAAATCATTTAATAACACCAAAGCAATGACAAATGTAAGACAATGGAAAGGACAAACAAAAAAATGAATTCTGACATGCTGTCACTGTACTTTACCACTAATCTTTATCCATGAAACTATTGAATGATCCATAATCCATTCATCTCGTTTCCTATCCAATTGATCCGGAATTTTATCACATTGATCCGGAATCTTATCCCATTGATCCACAATCCTATCCCGTTGATCCGGTATTATAAAATGGTTAGATAAAAAATATGATCTAGTCATCTAGTACCCTATCCCATCAATCCAGAATCCTACCCCAGTGATCCGGAAATATATTCCAGTGATCCGTAATCTAATCCCATTGATCCGGAATCCTATCCCGTTGATCCAAAATCATACCCCATTGATCCGGAATACTATCCCGTTGATCCAAAATCATATCCCATTGATCCGGACTCCTTTCCCAGTGATCTTTGATCCTACTCCAGTGATTCGGAATCCTATTCCATTGATCCGGAATCTAATCCGATTCATCCATAATCCTATCCCATTGATCCAGAATTCTATCCCGTTGATCCGGAATCCTTTCCCATTCATCTATTCCATTGATTAAAAATCCTATCCCATTCTTCCGGAATCCTATCCCTTTGATCCTGAATCCTATCTACTTAATCCGGAATTATAAAAAAGTTAAATATGAATATAATCAAGTCATCTAGTACCCTATCCCATTGTTTCTGGATCCTAACCCAGTGAACCGGAATCCTATTCCATTGACCCCGAATCCTATCCCATTGATCCGGAATCCTACCCAGGTTATCCGGAATTATGAAAAAGTTAGATAATATTATGATCTAGTCATCTTGTACTCTATCCCGATTGATCCGGAATTATAAAATATTCAAATAATAGTATCATCAGTTCATCTCGTTTCCCGAATTATTTTACACTTGTCCTTATAACCATGTATCCATTGACATTTATTTTACTGCATTGGTAAGTAATTCTAAAATGATTAAATAATAAGTAATTCTAAAATGATCAAGATCAACAAATTCTGATAAAGGTAATTATACATTTAACTAAAATTAACTTATTAAAATAGACTTAAAAGGTGAAATAAAAGGTAAATTATACTTTTTAGCATCAAATAAAACCAAAAAATGGAAAAACGAGTCATTTTGCTTTTCAAAATCGTCTTAATCTATCTCTACGAAAATAAATGTAGGAGTTTTAAAATATTCATGAAATGAATCAGCGGGAAATCCGGTAATTGTTTGATTTCTGTTATTTTAACTACTAGTCATTCGGAACATCTCCTTACTTAGTGTTCTCAAAGCACGTTTTCCCAGGAATCTGGCTCAACAGGCATTGGTATGTTCCAAAAACATCAAAATGTTAAGTTTTAACGCATATAAATATGAAGTTGTGCATTCCTATATTCAACTATGACGGCGAGATTTTTGACAATAGTTTGTCTTTTGACATGTTCTGCATTGACGAGCGTAACAGACATCCTTATGTGGTTCTTTTGTTGTTATTTTCAAACCAGATTTGATTAAAATCTGCCAGAATACTGTAGAGAAACAGTCTGTTGTAGACAGCACATGCAAATCGTAACGATATGAACGCCGAGTCTCTTCTGCGCCCCCCCCCCCCCCCCCCCCCCCCGGAAATGTAGACATCCATTGGTAAAAACTATAATACTTTACCTGTTCTAAGTGTCGTTAAATATCAACCAGTGTTATTATCCTTGAAATACCCATAGGTGCATTTTTACCCATGCACAGACCATACCGTACAACGAGATAATATAATTGATTTGGATATCTCCAAAGTATTCTACAGAGAGAGTAATCTGTTCAAATGGCAGAGAAAGGAAGTCATCTGGATAAGATGCAGAGGGCCAGATGAATCGAGATGAGAGGGCTCAAAGAATCTCGTATATTTATGACCGAGTAATTGACAAAGTGTAGCCTAATCGATGTGTTGGTTTTTATCATCCTTTTCTTCATTAAGTGTACACACGCTTGCATGTGTAGCCAAATCAACGGCGATTCTTACATTTACATTTATGTACCTACGCTTCACTGGTCAGTTGTCTGATGAAGGTGATGGTGTACATACTGTGCTATTCATCAAAAGGTCACACGTAAACCCTTGACTGATAGTGCTACATGAACCTTTCTTTAATCCATACTTACATGTACCAACCAGAAGAAAATATTTAGAAACCAATTGGTACATTTTTTCTTGACTAAAGCACTGAAACAGCTCTTTTTATGGCATCTCTGACGTGACCCTTCAGGAGTCACATTCTTATTCTTAATTTATACAAATTCTGAATCTCCTCTACCTAAAATGTCCCATGCTTAATTGTGGTCCAAGTTATAGTGAAAAATAATGTGCAATACTCTTTTTATGATCGTGTGACAGCGGTCACTCCAAGTTTTTAGTACTTTGATATTTAGTAAAACAAATCAGGGGGTAAGGGAAAAGAAGCTACGAAAAGTCGGCATATCTAGTGAATCATCCTTACAAAGTTTGTATGCAGTAAAAGATGGATCCCTTAAGATTTTTTAAATGTCAAAATTTGATGGAACCCGAGCTTCATCATACTTATTCTGTCACTTAAACGAAAAATGAAGAAATCAAAATTTGATAATTTTATGACTAATAACGTGTAAAAATGTAGTTTGCATAAAATGACACCACACATTGTCTATTGTTATATATCACTGGAAAGGTTATTAAAAATGCCATTTATCCATGGAATCAGATTGTTTTTGTTCTGTTTTGTGTATTTTGAAAAATATTGCATGAATGACACATGGGGTCCTGGGTGTCCTGAAAATCAATGTAGGGGGCGCTGGAGTTACAAATTTGTTCTATTTGAGGAATAAACATTCTATTGATGTGTACTTTATGCAATTTAACTAATTTATACTGAAAAATATTTTATCGGTCGTGGGCCGCCATACAA